CAGTAGCACGTAATAACAACGCTATCATAAAACTTATGAGCGTCAAAAAAATATGCTATTAAAGGTAGTAATGGCATTCGATTATTGCTATGAAACAATAAATAAAGACATTAAAAAAGTGCTATTGTAGATGAACATACTATAGCAGACAAAATTAATGCTATTGTAGGTGGGGTATCTACCATAGCTGCCGCAATCATAGCAGTTGTTATTTCGCTATGTATTACCTATGATAGCACTTTTTCCGCGCTAAGAATGTAAGTTTTTCTTGTAGTGATCCAAATATCATTTTTCATTTTCTTTTTTTATTTTTTTTTTCATTTTCTTCTTTTCTTGCTTCCCTGTTTTTGATTACCCTAGAAAAAATTTATAAATATTTTTTTATTAATAGAATTTAATGATTATTTTTTCAACGAACAAGATCTTTACTTAAGTAGTTGTATGACTGATTATATATAAACTTTCATTTAGATTGAAATGGAACTAGACATTCATGATTTGAAATAAAATTATATGAAAGTTTTGATTTCCCCTAAGATGTTTCCATTCACGAAAAATATATAAACGGTTCAATTTCTATATTTAATGATTACAATAAGATTTGTTAACAATGAATATACATGAAACCAAATAAAATATCAGTGAATTCTATCAGCCTATAGCATTATGATTTATGAACCTCAGATTATGACTTTTGGTCTTGTGAGATATAGACATATGTATCCTCATTGCTTCAATGGATTCCGAAGAAAAGGTACATGTTGAAATAAGAACTTCCGATAAGGCGATAACATGAAATATTATTGATTTTTTTTTTTTTTTTTTTAACAGCTGCTTTTCATTAATTCGAAATGTGATCCTCATGGAGGATGTTTACAATAAAGCTTGGAACATAGAAATATGATACAAAGCTTGAATTATCTCTTAAAGTTTCTTTTGCCAATCTATCTGCAGCTTGATTGTTGTGTCTTCTTGTCCACTGGAATTCTGCAGAGGCAAACCTTGATTTCCATGAAATAATCTCTCTAATCCAATTATGCAGTCGAAAATTCCTTTTTTCTCCTGTGATTAGTTTAAGGACAGTAATATTATCCCCTTCGAAGATAACTCTCCTATAACCTTGTATCCACGCGTGTTGCATCGCCATGAGTAGACTTTGGAGTTCTGCTTCTACTACCGAGGAACAATGATCACCCTTACTTATCCCTGCTCTCACGAAAAAACCATCAGGATCCCGGAAAATCCAGCCTGCCTGAGTAGCGTTCCCACCCTGAGCATATTTGCAATCATAATTACACTTAAGAAAATTCCTGCTTGGTCGATTCTATTGCGATCTCTGTGCCCGAGTGCGAGTCCGTGCTTCTCTGCTATAATTGCTTGAGTCATCTTGCCAACACGTGCCCCATTCCGTGGCTTCTTCTATTGCCGTTATGGTATCTTGTTGCCAAGTGCTGTTCTTATCTTGGTAAAGTAATTGGTTTCTACTCTTCCAAATCCTCCATAAAGTCCATATCGGTATTTGTCGGTCTAACAAAGACAAATTTTTATTGTTATAGCACTCAAACACCCCTGTAATATTTGACGTGAGACTATTTGCTGGGTTGCATAAGAGCTGTTGGAGATGCCGGTTTCTCCTCCAAATGTTCTGAACGTGGTCACATTCAAAAAACAGGTGATTTGCTGTCTCATCATGACACCCACATCGTTTGCAAACTGTGTCCGCTGATACTCCTCTTCTAGCAAGCTCTGTTTTTGTAGCTAAGGCTCGGGAGAGCAGTCTCCATAGGAAATGTTGCAACTTAGGAGCTGTTTTCATTTTCCAAATGGCTTCCTTTAGTACTTGTGAACCCGGTGGTGGTTGTATGTCCTCTTGGTAATCTGGAAGATGAGAAGCTAGCCAATATCCCGATTTTACCGTGTATTCTCCGGAATCATTGTAATGCCAGCCTAACATATCCGGAGCATCCGATGCACTCAACTTGATATCTCGAATTATTTGGACATCATCTTCCTGAATAATGTTGTGTAGCAACTCTAAATTCCATCTTGGTTGACCCTCCAACATTAGGTCCCTAACTTGGATCCCCATAGGTTCTGCTCCATCAATGCATCTAGGTGGTCTTGGCGGGTGAGTTGGGAGCCATGGATCAAGCCAAATATTGATATCCCGCCCATTACCAACTAGATATCTCATACCCTTCCTTACCAAATCTCTCCCTTCAAGCAAAGATTTCCAAATAAAAGAGGACTTGTATCCTGATCCTGCATTGAAAATATTTGAATTTGGAAAATACCTGCCTTTTAAAAGTTTTGTTAAGAGGCTGTCGGGTGCTTGAAAGATCCTCCAAATTTGTTTCCCCAGTAGAGCCAAATTGAAGGTCTCTAAATCTCTAAAACCAAGACCCCCTTCTTTCTTAGGTAATCCCATACGCTTCCATGACACCCAATGCATAGAGCGTCTCCCGTGTGCTTTACTCCACCAGACTTTTGCCAGGATACTGTTGATCTCATCACAAATACCTTTTGGTAGCTTGAAACAATTCATCGTGTATACTGGTAAAGCTAGAGCCACCGTTTTAAGAAGAACTTCCTTCCCTGCTTCGGAAAGAAATCGATGAGACCAACTCTGTGTTCTTTGCTTAACTTTTTCAACCACATAATTAAAGATCTCCTTCTTCTTCCTTCCAATATGTTCTGGTAATCCGAGATATTTACCACATCCCCCATCATTATGGATGTTAAGAATTCTCCGTAACCTTGTCTTGACATGTTGTTTAACTCTACTCCCAAAAGTTATGGCCGATTTGTTGAGATTGACTGCCTGTCCTGAGATATATTCATACTCTTGAAGAATATTCATGATGGTTGAACATGATTTTTGATGAGCATGGCAAAAGAATAAGGCATCATTAGCGAATAGAAGATGGTTTATTGTTGGACCCGTGTTACTAATCTTCATTCCTTTCAAGCTATTTCCTCCTGCAGCTGTTGTTAATAGATGACTTAAGACTTCTGAACAGAGAATAAACAAGTACGGTGAGAGCGGGTCGCCTTGACGAATTCCACGCTCAGGCATGATGTTTCCCAAAGGAGAGCCGTTTATGAGCACAGAGAAACTGACAGATTCCACACATTGCATTATCCAGTTAATCCAAACTGAACCAAAACCCATATGGAGCATCGTATCTCTGAGAAATTGCCATTCCATTCTGTCATAAGCCTTAGAGATGTCCGTCTTAACTGTCATGTAAGAATTAGCCCATCTTTTCCTTTTCTTGAGAGAATGGATCATCTCATGGGCAATGATAACATTATCCATAATGTTCCTACCCGGAATAAAGGCCGCTTGATTTTCTGAGATGATTGCTGGGAGATGTTGTTTAAGACGGTTGACTAAAATCTTGGATATGATTTTATAGCTCACATTGCACAGAGCAATAGGCCTGAAGTCACTCATTGTTGTTGGGATCTCAACCTTTGGGATTAAGCAGATATTAGTATGGTTCAGGCTGGTCTTCATGACACCATCTCTAAAGAAAGATTGAACTTCACGAATCACTGCATCCTTAATGTCAGGCCAAAATTGTTGGAAGAAAGCAGCTGTAATACCATCGGGACCAGGCGCTCTATCTGGTCCAACATCAAAAACAGCCTCTTTTATTTCTTCCTCTGTCACTGGTCTTTGAAGATTTACATTCATGTCATTGGTCACTCTTGTCCGAAAACCTTCAAAAGATCTTGTGTAATCGCCATCATGAGTTCTTGTTGTTTTGAAAAGATCAGAAAAGTAACTTTCAGCTGCCCTTCCTATGCTATCTTCTCCTCTGTGAATCATTCCCGCTGAGTCTTCGATGGCCATGATCCTGTTTCTAGCTATTCTTTGCTTCGCTGTAGCATAAAAGAACTTTGTGTGCCTATCTCCAAGCTTCAACCATGTATTTCGGCTTTTAATCTTCCAATAGTGTTCTTCATCGTGGTAGGCTTGATTGAGCTTGCTCTTGAGATCTTCAATCTCTTGAGTAGTGTGGGTGCCATGAGTTAAGGCTGAGTCTAATTGCTTTTTAAGGGTAGCAATTTGCACGGATGCGTTCAATCTGTTCCGCCGTTTCCATTCCGACATTTTCTTCCTACTCAGCTTGATTCTGCGACTAAGGTCAATAGTCCAATGACTTTCGTTCCATGACTTGATTAGCATATCTTTGAAACCTTCACGATGGTATAATCTGCTGTTATAGCGAAAACTGCCTCTCTTTTGCCTTGTGATGTTGCAAATGCTCGTGATTAATGGTCGATGATCGGAACCTTCAAAAGGCAAAAACTCTGTTTGGGCTGAGGGAAAATCAGTTAACCACTCCGTGTTTGCCATTGTACGATCTAAGCAGCACCATACATCATGAGAGTAGCGTTTTCCGGTCCAGGAGAAACGATTGCCCACAGATCTTAAGTCATATAAACCACAATTTGTGATCATTCGTCTAAAATCTTCAAAGGTTCGTTCTGCTCTCCTAGGTCCTCCTTTTTTCTCATTGTTGCTTTTGATTTCATTGAAATCACCCATTAGGAGCCAAGGATTCCTTCGATATTCAGCGATTCCTTCAAGTTCTTCCCATAGTTCATTTCTCCGACGTTTCTCAGGGAATCCATATACAAGAGAACAGTAGAATGAACTTCCATTAAAAACAACTTGCATATCTACAAGATTTGGAGAAAGGGAAATAACAGAAACTGAAATAGAAGTTTTCCAAAAGATAGCAATTCCACCACTCATACCCTGTGGTGGAACTGTTACAAAGTTAGGGTAATTTAAGTCACCAGCAACTTCACGGATCTTGTCGTCTCCTTGTTTTGTTTCCAGAAGGCATATCATGTCCGGGAGATACATTCTCGTAATCTCCTTTAGGCGTCGAACTGTAAGGTCTATGCCCAGACCTTGACAGTTCCAAGTGGTTGTAATCATGGCGGCTGTGGTGGTTTCGGGCCCACCGCACCTCTGCACTGGTTGCTCTTGCTGGAAGAGCTGCTTCCTTTCTCCATCTCTTGGAATTTCACCCTTGTGTTCACTGTCTCCTCCAACTGTTCAATCGTATCCTCACGCTTGCGTTTGCCCCGTTCCAAAGCAGTCACTTCTTGAGCTCTCAGAGTTTCCTCCATGACTTCTGGTCTTGGATGAATGTTAACTGAGTAAGCACAGTTACTCTCAGACCCAGGAATGTCTCCCGTCGAATTCTCAAAGATTGGTATCGGGTTGAAGAGCTCATTTGTATCCCATTCACCACGAAAAACACTCAATGCCATTCTGTCCTCTGGCTCTTCCTCATAATCCACCAAAGCATTATGGTGAGGATCAATATCTGCAAGCTCCTCAGCAACCTCATCCTCATTAGCCATTGCCGCCACTGGTTCAGCCTCCATGACACCATTAGCCTCATCTACTTCTATCTCCCTAATGATTACCCCTTGGTTCTGATTCTGGTTCCTTGGCGAGCCTGGTTCTGCTTGGTCATCGTCATCACCATCAGGGTGATCCTCTTCACCTCCATTCTGGATCAAGCATGCTCCCGAATCATGAGTTAACAAACCACAAACCTCACAGAATCCCCTGAGACGCTCAAACCGGAATTTAAGCAGAGTGTTGACTCCTCTTTGAAATTGAAAGTTTCGTTGAAAAACGACTGGAGAGTCAATGTTCCAATTGATTTGAACTCTCACGAATTCAACTCTTGCAGCGGTCTCCGCATCATAGTCGACCTCCGCCAAATTTCCAAGAGCACGTCCAATTGAAGTGATGACATCAATCGTTAGATACTGTAGCGGGATACCTCTGATTTGGATCCAAAACGGTATGAAGTTGATCAAAGGAGGATTCATCAGTGGAGTCCACCTCTGGAGAATCAGCATTCGATCATTGAAAGCCCACGGGCCACGCCTAATTACTGTCTCAAGTGATTCCTCCGATGGGAAAACAAACTGGAATTGATTACCCGGAATAATCCGGCCATGGACTAGACCCGATTGACCCCAGATTCGTGGCATCGAGGCAACAATTGACCGGAGGTTCTGTCTCCGTGGCATCACCGGACGTCCCAACAAGATGTAACGATTCACCGCTTCCGCCCTCGCTACAATCTCCTCTGGGATAACAAAAGGTTCTTCATCCGCCCCCAAGTTAATCTCTTGAACCGCACGACGCAAATTATCCGCCATTTTAGTAAGAACAGAGTAAAATCGGAAAGGATAATTGAGAGAAAGAGCAATTGCTTGAAACACTGATGAAAATCCATTTGAAAAACCTCGGTTATATAGAGAAGGATTCTGTATAACCGTTGTATTAACATCACGTCGTGGATGGGTGAACGACGTGGAGATAACCGTCGGAAGAGTGGTCACAGGACGCCCCACTTTGCCGGAAAAATCGATCAAAACCGCTATCGAGGAGAAGGAATAGAGGCAGTTAAGCCCCTGTAAAATAATCGCCTTTTTGATCGGCATTTAGTGTGTATTATTTATAAGCAATGATTTGATTTTTCTTTAATTTGATTCAATTCACCACAAAATGTTTAGAACTTCTGATTTTTGTTGTTGCGAGATATAGACATAATGACATATGTATCCTCATTACTAATTGGATATCCAAAGAAAAAGGCAAGAAATCGAAACTTATACCTTGAAAAAATAAAAGTTATTGATTTCTTTTTTATTCCTTTCATAAACTACATATATACTCAATTCAATGTTAACGTCGCAAGAGATTACAAATCATATGTGGCAACACCTAAATAGTACTTCCTCTGTTATTTAAAGTTTAATGTTCTAGTGTTTTGAGTTTGTTCCACAAATATTGATTTTTAATTAACTGATTTTAATAAATCGTAGATTTCAAGACGTAATGATTAACTGTTTCAGATTACTATTGGTTCATAGTTTATTAAAAAATATTTAATAAAAATAAATAATTAAACAATGATTGTTTTTTTAAAAATGTGAAATCTCTAGAAAATCAATCTTTTAGAAACAGAGGGAGTATCCAAGACCAAGTTCATTCTATCATAAATCATTAACTATATACTCCATCTGTTTTATAATAAGTGTCGTTTAAGATTTTTACACATATATTAAAAAAATAATTAATTTTCTGTTTTACCTATTATCTATATATTTTATTATTTTTGTTAGTTAATACATTAAATTAGTACGGATAAAACTGAAAATTTTACCAAACATCTGCATTGAGAACACAAAACGACATTTATTTTAAAATAAAATTCAAAGACTAAAACGATACTTAATATGAAACGAGGGAGTATGATCTACATATTTAAAAGGCAACATGTCCAGAGAAAACTGATGCTATCTTTCAATAAAGTTTTCATATCCAATTTGACTCTGCTTTTATATCACATTAAAACAATTTGAGTAATTACGACACAACAAATAGTTAAATAAATAAAAACAGGAAGAAATTAGAAAAATATATTATAAAGATACAAAAGACACATTAAACCGCTAAAAACTATATTGTACGATCGTTTTTTGTCGTTTTTTTCCGCTTTCTTAGATTGTCAGTCTTATCTTTTGCATTTTTGTCACCGTAATGAATAGTGACAGAAAACCGTTAAATTTTTTTCTTCCGATATACCGACAATCGGACATATATATTTTTAACTTTTTGTGTTAAAAATATATTCTCTTGTATAAAAAATGTTTTACGTAAATAAATACACACTAACTAAAAAACTTGTAAAATAACTTTAAGAGATATTTTTGATATTATAATAAATACTCTAAAGACTATTAATAATTATAGGAATAAATAATATTTTTTCTTTTTTTTTTTGCACTGAAAATATAAAATCGTAATATATATATATATATATATATATATTGGTACGAAAATAAAATAATAATATATTAAAAATTATTAAAACATCTCTTATTTTGAAATAGAGAAAGTATATATATATATATAATTCATCTTTTTTATAACTCTTTCTCCTCTATTTATTGCAGCTTTCCTCCTTTCACGAACAGATTTTTATTTCTCCGATTTTACTTTCTTTCTTTTTCTCTCTTTAGCTTTCTTTTCTAGCTTCCCCTGTTTCACGTCTTCCTCTAAAGCTCACAACTTTTCACCTCCCATGGCTTCCTTTCTCCTTCTTCTCTAATATATCCAGAACTTTCTATAGCTCTGTTTTTCTTTTGGTTTTCAGCTTCCTCTAGCTCTGTTTATCGGCTCACTACTGTTTGATCAAATCTCCGAAAACTCGAAAAACAAAAGGTCCACCATTTTCAATGGCAGACAAAACTCAATCAGATGATTTCATTTCCCATAAAAACCCAACTCTTCCTCAAGTTATAGAAGAGCTAAAAGAGCTCTGGGCTATGGTTTTACCAATCACAGCAATGAACTGTCTTGTCTACGTACGCGCCGTCGTGTCTGTTCTCTTCCTCGGCCGGCTTGGCAGCCTCGAGCTAGCCGGAGGAGCTCTCTCCATCGGATTCACCAACATCACAGGCTACTCTGTTCTCGTTGGACTCGCCTCGGGTCTCGAGCCAGTGTGTAGCCAAGCCTACGGAAGCAAAAACTGGGATCTCCTTACGCTCTCTCTCCATCGTATGGTCGTGATTCTCTTAATCGCCTCTGTTCCCATTAGCCTCCTCTGGATCAACCTTGGACCCATCATGCTTTTCATGGGTCAAAACCCAGAGATAACGGCTACGGCCGCTGAGTACTGTCTCTACGCCCTTCCTGATCTTTTGAACAATACTCTGCTTCAGCCGTTAAGAGTTTATCTAAGGTCGCAGCGAGTGACGAAACCGATGATGTGGTGTACGTTAGCAGCGGTGGCGTTTCACGTGCCGTTGAATTATTGGCTTGTGATGGTGAAGCGTTGGGGTGTTCCTGGTGTGGCTATTGCGTCTGTTGTGACGAATTTGATCATGGTTGTGCTTTTGGTTGGATATGTTTGGTTTAGTGGGATGTTGCAGAAGACAGTGAGTGGTGGGTCTACGGTGGTGGCGGTGGCTCAGTCGTCGTCTGTATTGGAGTTGGTTGGAGGGTTGGGACCGTTGATGAGAGTGGCGGTTCCGAGTTGTTTGGGGATATGTTTGGAGTGGTGGTGGTATGAGATTGTGATTGTGATGGGTGGTTACTTGGAGAATCCTAAACTTGCGGTGGCTGCCACTGGGATTTTGATTCAGACTACGAGTCTTATGTATACTGTCCCTATGGCTTTAGCTGGATGCGTCTCTGCTCGGGTATGTTTCTCTGCTCTGTTATGTTAATGGTCAAAATTTTAGTCAAAATTTGAGTCAAAACTAGTGACTAAGTTGATTTGAGTCAAGATTAGACTAGTGATTAGTGATGAAGTGGTCAAGATTTGAGTCTAAAAAACTAATGAATAAGTTGATTTGGTTTTGCATTTGAATGTTTAAAGTCAAATTGTGGATGGAACGTTTTAAGTCAACAAGAGTCTTTGCGTTTTTTTTCATAAAAATATTGTGTGGTGCCTATGATTGATGCTGGAGAAGTGGGAGTCATTAGATTAAATTAAGACAAAAAGACAAAAGTCTTGGAACTTGAAGGTACGAAAACATTTTACCAGTGGCAAGAACGTTTTATTCAAGAAAGATTATGAACTTTATTATTCAAGATTGTAATTGGCATTAAGTTTTTTTTTCTTTCTAATAAAGTTTGTGTTATTCGATGACCTTATTTAGAAGGTTCTCTGTTTAGTGTTTATTTTGTTCGAGGAAGATTTAAATTTTGTTCTTGTAACGAGGTTATTAGAAGGCTCTTTGATTTTTTTGTTCTTTTTAAGTTTCTTAAAGCTTTTTCGGAAATGAAGAAAAAGAGATGATAAAAAACGTGCAAACTTCCATTAATAGGTCACTCCATGGAATGTGATTGGACGTTAACATACCTAAACCTAAAAAAAAAAAAAAAAGTGGTTGAAAAGTGAGTGGTAGTCAAGTGTGGTCTATTTTATTGTTGCCAATCTCATGATACTCTTCAACCTCATCGAAAACCACTTGTCCTTTTCTTTTCCTTTACATGTGACAAAAGTTTGGCTTCAATAACTTTTTTTTTAACATTTGGTCTCATTCATTTTCTCAGGTTGGAAACGAGCTCGGTGCAGGTAGACCGTACAAAGCGAGACTAGCAGCGAACGTGGCTCTAGCTTGCGCGTTTGTAGTAGGAGCATTGAATGTGGCTTGGACGGTTGTTCTTAAAGAGCGTTGGGCTGGACTATTCACTGGCTACGAGCCACTCAAGGTATTGGTTGCTTCGGTTATGCCAATCGTCGGGCTATGCGAGCTAGGGAATTGCCCGCAAACCACGGGCTGCGGGATTCTTAGGGGGACAGGTCGGCCTGCGGTTGGGGCACACGTGAATCTCGGGTCGTTTTATTTCGTTGGGACTCCCGTGGCGGTTGGACTAGCGTTTTGGTTAAAAATTGGGTTTAGTGGGTTGTGGTTTGGGTTGCTTTCAGCTCAAGCGGCTTGCGTGGTTTCGATATTGTATGCGGTTTTGGCAAGGACTGATTGGGAAGGGGAAGCAGTGAGGGCAATGAGACTGACGAGTTTGGAGATGAGGAAAGTTGGAAAAGATGAAGAGTCGTCATTGTTGTTGTTGGATGATCGTAATGGGAATGATGAGAAGTTGGATGATGTTTTGTAATCAAATTGGATAATTGCGAGGTCAAAACTTGAGAGACGACTTATTCTCGTTTTGTGGAGCGGTATTTTAGGTTTTGTCTTCACTAGTGATGAGTGTTGACCTCGTTTGTTCAATGTTTTGTTTGTATCCAATTTCGTTTTTTTCTTAGTGAGTGTTGCTAATTGAAAAAAACTTTGGAAGCTCAATCATTTTTAGACGTTGAAAATAAGATTTAAAATAGTTAAATTATTGGATATGGCTTTTTGCTAGAAATGGTGAAAAAGAGGACTATAATAAAAGCTGGTAAGAGAACTTTCTTGACCATATTAAGCCAAACACAATTGAACGCATGCATATAGTCCTTTATTCCCCTTTCTAGTGTGGTTTTCATAATAAACAAGTAATTTTGATAAAATCTTATTTGTGTATATTATGTTAAGTTGGGTCAAAAAGATGATGAGGAAAGGGTACATAGTGTAGAGTACATTTTTTTTTTCATTAAAAACCGTAATGATTTAAAGCCCGACACAGTCACATATGTTCCCCAAAAACTTTTGGACATGCCTTTGCCAGATTATCCCATACAAAGGACTCCCTTTTTTTTGTCGGGCACTTCAAGTCTCAAGTCTACTATGGAATTAGAAGAATTGTGTCACACGGACCAATTAGATTCATACCTTATCCGATTCAGATAAAATCTGATAACGCACTGACAGAAAATAGTAATATCTCAGAGATTAGTGTTTAAATTTGATATTATGGTCACTCGATAACTTTATCAGTTCTTCTATATGTTGTTTCACATCTCATTTTAACTTTTCTTAACTTGTCCATCATGAATTCTTGAAGATACCTCATTGAGGACGGAGCTCGAAAAGCTCTGCAACAAGAGGTCCAATATAATTAAACCATACAATTTATTTCAAAAATGGACATAATATGATCCAGGTGATTTTTGCACTGTCCACGCCCACCATCCATGCCCTTAATTTGTGAAAACCATATCCTATAAACCAATTTATGGTGTCAAAGATTAGGATTCAGATTTTCAATCATAGTAAATAAGCGATTGATTTCTATTTTGATTACTCACTTGAGTGGTAAGAATACTCGACGTTCCACAAATTTCGGAAATTAGTCTTGACTTCGGCTCATTGCTTTCAAAAGATTAGTCTGAATTTCAGCTAAAAGTAATAATATTCCATGACTAAGAAAAAACAAAACTTTAGAAAACACATTTCTTCCGTTTCAGAAGTGTTTGTTTACAATAATTTTTTGTTTTGAAAAAACCTTGTTTTAAAGTTTTAAGGTAATTTTTACCAACATACCCAATCAATATTTTTACCTAAAACTGACAAAAGTGAGTTTAAAATGAAACAAACAAAATTTGACTGGTTTTAAATCTGTATGAAGATTATTAATAATGTTTTTTTTTTTTTTTAATGATCAAAATGTTTATTAAAGGAATGGAGTAAATGAGAGTGAAGTGGGGACTTCATTAAAAGCAAGGTCTCAAAGGGTCACGCTTGATGGCATGTAGGACTTGATGATGACGAGACATCTGAGATTTGTTACTTCAATGTACCTTTAGAACACGGTTTTATATGGCACATTCTTGTGCCTATCAGTTTGCCAAAGAGATAAAACCAAATACACTAGTAAGAAAGATTCAAAATTAATGAGAAAGGATCAAAGAATGTGAAAGCCTTTGAAAATAGAGAGGAGGGATCATGTGAATCCAACACTGTTTCCTTTAAAATCCCTTTCAATCTTTACTCTCACTCTCCTATATATCTCTTCACCATATTTTCTTTTGGTCAAAACACTTTCTATATATGAAAACCTAAGATATAACTAAGTAACACCTTCAATCTTTTCCCAATGAAATCCATATCTTTATTCGCGATTCTTCTTCTCCATCTCTTTGTTAGTACTAATAGTTTCCAATTGGATCTCTTTCACTGTGAGTATTATTTGGCTATAACATGGTTCATAATTAGAGACAATGAATGTTATCTTGGTTGGTTTATTTATTTGTTGTACTGTGATTTGCGAGGTTGAAGATGTGGCGAGCGGATCAAGCATACCTGACTGCTCGAACGCGTGTGGACCATGTAAACCGTGCAAGCTTGTCGTGATCAGTTCCAAGTGTTCAGCCTCCGAGGCCTGCCCTCTCGTCTACAAGTGCTTGTGCAAAGGCAAATACTATCACGTGCCTACCCTCACCTAACTCTTCCTCATCTCACGTGACCACTTCTTCCTTACGTTTTCAATGATCTGTTGTTGCTTTTCCAAAGTTTATTGACTACTCTCACCTTAGCGTGTGGTGTTGATTTGTGATACCACAATTGAATAAACGGCCAACAAAATATTAGATTATTTGTTTGTAAAAGCATTCTAAGCCAAATACAAAACCTTGAACACGAGGAAAAAGAAGAAGATCAGATGATGAACAAACTAATACTATCCTAAGAGAAGAGTCAGATCTGATTTAAAGCTCTGTCTCGATTTCGTTGAAGTTCCAGTCTCTAACAATGTCTCTTCTAACTGCACGGCTTCGTACTAACCGTGGTGAGGCTCCTTCACCTACTTGGAAATTGGGTTGTGGGGTTACCTTTGAGGATGATGCAGGGAAAGCGTTTGATCTTGCAGCTTGAATGAGTGATTTCCTTGTGAGGCAGCTCGCAATCACAGAGCATCTTCCCTCGTTGTCTGAGCTAGAAACAGAGTAGCTTCTAAATGAGTGGGATGGGCTTTCTACACTATGGCACACGAGGCATGCAAAACTCATTTTATTTTTTTGCCTAAGTGAGTATCTTGTATACGGGTTTTGAGTCACAAGCACACTTGCTCTTTAGAACTCCTGCATTTTCCAAAGGTTTTAGCAACATAAGATTACGTCTGCTGTGGAACAAGAACTAAGCTAAGCATTCACCAAAGACAGTAAATCAAATTCCTTTACTCACGAAATAGACGCATTATATAAACAAAATCTAACCCGTTTCAAGTAGCACTTTTAATTGACACTGCATCAATGAAACTTTCTTCATGAGGATGTTTTTCACTAATCACTATACAAGTAGAAAAAGAAAACATGACAAAGCTCATTACTTTGTACGCGACCACCGATCAGAGCCCTGAACGACATGACTTATATAGTTACTAACCATCAATCAGAAGCAGACTCAAGTGTTCCAACATCTAGACAAGAGCTTTATACATTAGACTCCATTTTCAGTAGCAAAAAGAGGCCAAATTGATCATCACATTTCACAATCCACAGAATTTCTTCACAAAAGCCCCATCAATAGCTTAGACTAGATTCTTAGCCATCACTGCTCAGAGTCAACTACAAATTCAAACCTAGATAATATTTTTTCGGCGAGATGCATCAGATTGATGACGAATTTTTTTGCAATCAAACGAAAGATCCACAAGAATTTCAATTCCAATTGCGCGCTAGAGAGAGAGAGAGAGAGATAGAAGTTGAGATCTGGACAAGGCAAAACTTTACCTCTGGGTGATTATCGAATTGAGTATGGGTATCCGAACAAGTGACGATGACGATGTTTGCTTACTTTAATTTCGAATTCTTGGAATTCTCCATCATCACCACCACGAGGATCTAGAAGCCATAGGCGAGAGACTCGCGTCTCGATTTGGGTGTTTATAATAGCTAAGTTTACTGCGCGTGGACGACACGCGCCGTTACTAGCGATATTTCCCGCGTGCGACGATGACTCGACACATTTTACACCATTTTTATCCGCTTCTAATTTACGAGAGAAACTCGGTTAAATCTTCTAAACCAATAAACCCTTGGCGGTCACAACAAAATCATTAAACCCTTCTTTAATTATCAAATCAAACCGGGTTCATAGTCTTTTAAGAATCTTGCATTGGCAAATTTTCATTTGCTTCTTTAATCAAAGCATTTCCACCACAAAAGTAACAATAAAAGCCTATCACATCTGAAAATTTACAGAAATTGTAGTCTTTTGATTTTAGAGGAAACACTAAAGATTTATCCACGCCGGTTTCTTCATGAATCACACATTAAGAAAACGATACAGTTGCGTAGAAGCCTTTTTTCCTCTCTAAGCAGAAGAACCCTTCAGCTGGATCAAAAGATAGACAAGAGAAGAGACTTATAGATTTTATAACAGATAGGGTTCACTCAGATTTGCTTCTTGAAATTGCGTACCTTTAAGAACTCGTTCCAGCATCTGTCCCTGCGGTTAGATCTTCTAATTCATCAACAATAGTGGTGTAGCAAAAGAAGTATTGATCCTTCAAGAAAGAGCAAGGAATTGAACAAGTCAGAACAATAATGTGGTGAGATACAGAAATTTGTTAGCTATAAAGATCTACCATGGTTTGAACCATGCCAATGCGTTGGCTTCGAAATATTGCCACGGTTTTAGCAAGATCCAACGCAGACATATCCCCAGCAAGAATTCTCTGGATTGTGTTATGTATGGCACAGTAGGTTCCGGTTCTTCCTATACCTGCACTGAGAGATACAAAACAATTTTCTCAGGAGACGTTGAACAATACTCGCATACAAACACACTCATTGACATGCATCGTACCTGCAGTGCACAATGATTGGGCCGAGACTAGGCGGTACTTGATATAGTCTTTTTAGAATTTCACGGACAGCCACAGTATCCCTGGGAACTCCATGATCAGGCCACTCTGGATACTGAATATGCAAAACGGACATGGGCCGATCCTCTGTCTGAAACACAATTATCATACAGTGAATTATGCAGGACTCTTAGAAAGAGAACTTGATCTGGTAAAAAATAAACAGAAGCAAACTGATACAAGATTTTCACCTCCTTGTAGTTAACCTCAAGATTCCGTAACATCAATGAAGTCTCAGTAGACTTTATCCACTTTGTCGTAACAGATATGTTGCCAAACTCTCTAGATCCATCTTCGGCTTGAAAATAGTCCCCGCATTTAACAGTCTGAAACAAGAAGCCAGATTAGTTCATTAATCAACATCAGAGAGATAGTTATCTATCGTCATCACTGTTTATGGAACATCCAAAACTTGCTAGCAAATAATGAACTAATATTTGATTGTATAAGAAGAAATCACGGGTGAGTAGAACATCAGAAACAAATGCTCACAACAACTTCACTTCTACTAGGATGTTTACAACAGATCATGTTAATATCCAATCGACTAAATCAAATATAGTCATAGATGCCTTGATGATCAGCTCATATGTCTCTGGACGTCCTTCCTTATTTCCAAGGGTGAATCTTATCCATTACTAAGTGAGTATTGGTGAGACTTTAGCATTAAGATAGGTTCATAGATTGACCTCAAAATAAAATTACTACAGCCAGGGAAAGCAACACTAACCAGCGATGAAGGAGAAGATTACATTAGTAATAATATCATGTCACACTAGCAACCTCCTAACAAACTAAACTTTTAAGCACGAGTTCACCAATCGTTAAACAGAGAGCGATAGTGATATTCCTATTTCGTTAAGTAACAAAAAGAAAAAGACTCATACACACAAGCTAGACTAGGATGTTTACCCGATTATTGTCAACCAATCGGGTGAGCATGACTATGATTGGGCAATGCTGCTGAATAACCATCTCCCAGAAGTCCTCCATCGTGTGTGGTAAAGGACCTTGCGTAGCTATGAACTGAGAAATACTCTCAGAATCCGACGTCTACATAACATAACCCATCAATAACCATAAAAGCTTCAGAACAACGCACAGGTAGATAGACTAATAAGAAGTGTACCTTAATTAAGCTTGCATTCACATATCCTTTTGCAGATGATCTATAGTCTTTACATGGATTCAGAACAATCCTGTTCTTGTCAACTATATCCAAAGCAACATCAATATTTAGAACTGTACACAACTAACTAGCAAATCCACAAAAAAAAAAAGAGGAACAATACATGGAACAACATCACTGTATCTGTTTTTCTCAATATTGACACTGTTCATCGCCACTGTACTGTTTAGCAGCATCTCCGATGGCCACATCCTATTAGCCTGCGTACGAGGAGGGTTTATTATAATCCAATTTGGTTTTAAGGAAGACCACTAGGAAGAGGAAAATTCTCAATTTAAGAGGATGGATCTATAACCTGTAAACCGGCAAACTCATGAGCGATCGAGTCCGGATCTTGGATCTTTCCCCGGAAAACGCCAAGAGCTTGGTGACAGTGATTGAGCTGATCGGGGGAGAGAGAGAGTTTTGAAGGAGGCGCATCAGCGGATGAGAAATCGAAACGCGTCGAGCCGGTGAAAAGATTAGCGGCGGAAGGAGTTGTCCCCGTCGCCATGACTGGTTTCCGGTGGGATCTAACGCGACGGCAGGAACTGAAGTTGCCCGTCGTGTGAGGCGGAGTTAGAATCGGAGTTAGACTGGTTTCTGGTTAATTGAAGTTTTCGATTGGCTCCGCTCTCCGAGAAGAAAGGGTAAAGTTTTGAGATTAGTGGATTATGCGACTATTTCAATGTTGTTATTTTTTATTTTGTAACCAATTATTAAAGTTGATGACCATATTATATAGTTTTAACTATTAGTTTGTGATTTAAATAGTATTTTGATTACTTTAATAAAATTATAGAAATTTAATAAAAATATATAGTAAATAAATTAAGAAATCTAACGAATATTATTGGGTTGTGATTTACATAATGTTTTAATGACTTTAAATGTTAGGTAAAATCTGTTGTTATTCAATCAAAATTTTATTAAAATTTAGTGTTATTTACTTTTGATTTGTAATTTTTTTCTTTCTAAAATCTTCATAAATCTAGAGCTATTAGATTCATAATTTTATAAAATCAATAAAAGTTTTAAAAAACTTTATAACATTCTGAATCCAATAACTCTAGATTTATGAAGATTTTATAAAATTTTTACAAAGCAAATACTAATAACATCAGACTTTAAAAAAGTTTAATAAAAATTTTGAATGAATAATAATAGATTCTACATAACATTTAAAATCACTAAAATATTATTAAAATCACAAACCAATAACACCCTTTAATTAATTAAAGTCATTATGATTTTTGGTAGTTTATCAAGTTTTAGCAAGCTTTGAAGAAAAGGAACCTGCTCTTTTATTTTCTGTCGGAATAACATTTTCAAAAATGATCATAATTTCCTAAAACTACAATAAAATTTTCCTAGATGGGCAACGTCACAGAATAAAACAACAGTGGGCCTAAAAAGGCCAACCTAAAAGCCCATAATCAATAATAACAACTCTTCACTTGGCGAGTCTTGAGTACACTGCTGCTTCACATGAATGTCTTTGAAACACCATTGATGAGCCAAAACCCTCTTAAAACCTCTTCATCAGATTTTCCCACTTTCTCATCCCAAAACCCTAAAAAACCAAATCGCCGATGAAATCCATTTTCCGTACCATTTCTATCCGCCGTCATTCCGGCCACCGAACCTTCTCCGATACGGCGGTGGAAGATGTCTACAAATTCGTAAGAGACAGAGGACTCGACCACGCTGTAGAAAGAGAGAAAAATCTCAGACCACTTCTCAGCATCAAGGACCTTATCAGATCGGAGCCTGCGAAATCAGTTCCGATCTCAGTTATCACCACTAAGAAAGATTCACTACGAGTTCCTCTCCGTCCAATCGAGTTCATCAGAAGCTTCCCTTCCGTTTTCCAAGAGTTTCTCCCCGGAGGAATTGGTATTCATCCTCACATCAGCCTCACGCCGGAGATTCTAAACCTCGACGCCGATGAGCAATTGGTTTACGGTAGTGAGTCTTATAAGCAAGGATTAGCTGATAGGCTCTTGAAATTGCTTATGATTAATAGGATTAATAAAATTCCATTGGAGATTCTTGATTTGTTGAAATGGGATTTAGGTTTACCTCAGGATTATGTTGAAACTATGGTACCTGAGTTTCCTGATTATTTTAGAGTAATCAAATCGAAGTTACGTGGATGTAGTGGCGAATTAGAGCTGGTTTGTTGGAGCAATGATCATGCTGTGTCTGTGTTGGAGAAGAAAGCTAGAACAATAGGTAAAGGAGAGTATAAGAAAGAATCCGCGATTGCTTTTCCTATGAAGTTTTCAAATGGTTTTGTGGTTGATAAGAAGATGAAGAAATGGATCGATGATTGGCAGAAACTGCCGTATATTTCTCCTTATGAGAATGCACTTCATCTGTCGGCGACTAGCGATGAGTCTGATAAGTGGGCGGCTGCTGTTTTGCACGAAATCATGAACCTTTTTGTGTCGAAGAAGGTTGAGAAAGATGCCATTTTGCATCTTGGTGAGTTTATGGGATTGAGATCGAGGTTTAAGAGAGTTCTCCATAACCATCCCGGTATCTTTTACTTGTCAAGTAAGCTTAGGACTCACACTGTGGTTCTTAGAGATGGTTACAAGAGGGGGATGTTGATAGAGAGCAATGAATTGGTGACAAGCAGGAACCGTTACATGAAACTCATGAATACAGTTAAGAAAGAAAATAAGGCAGTTCCTTCTAGCAGCAAGAGAGAAGATAAGGAGAAAGTGGAAGGCGCAGTTTGTGATACTAATGCAAAGGCTGAGAATGATAAAGTGGAAGGCGAAGTTTGTGATACTGATGCAAAGGCTGAGAATGATGACATTTCTGGTTCTGATGTCGAAAATGATCATCAAGGAGACTTTGTTGATGATGACGAGGACGATGATGAAGTGGATCAAAACCAGAGTCTGAACCGTGGTCGTAGAAATTCAAGTCCAAGAGCGGGTAGAAGGAGTTTTGGAAACTCGGGTTCAAGAGATAAGCCACAATCGAGGCGGAACAAGATCAGTTTAAAGACCGAGAAGAAGAGGAGTCGGATGTATTAAAGACTTAATCCATCTTTACTGGTGGCTGCATTTTCAGCGGTTTCGTTTCTTCTCCTGTGTAGTAATCTCACTCTATAGCTTGTCCGTTTCATTCTTACTTCTCAGGGGAGAACAATCGAGTTTTTATAAAGAGTGAGTTATATTCCGTAGTTACTTATGCTCAGACCTTAAATCTGACTTTTCCAGGTGATTTGGCAGACTCGGGATATCAACTAGTTGAATAGCTAGTGTGGAATATTAGCAAATACTGAATCTCATTCATTAATATCGATGTAATGAGTAACACTTATCAATCTCATTTGAACCATAAGAATTGTAAAATGAAGGAGACACATTCCAAATAAAGACTTTACTTATCAATATTCAATAACCTATGCCGTGTACATATCGAATTTAGACAGAGATAACTTTTTTGACAAAAAATTTCCTCGCAAAGCATAGAATTAAGAAGAACACAACAACGAACACAGATAGCAACACATGTCTGGACAGTATCTGTAAGTATTCTTCTCACTTGCCTATGCCACTTTGTTTTGGAACTCGGATGTCTCATAGACTCGAGCAGTGTTATCGACAGAGACTGAAACAATGAAGTCAGCATTGGTAGAGACTGAGATGGCCTGGACCGCATCTTGGTGACCATGGTAGGTATGGACGCAGTTGCCTAATAAGCTGTCCCAAACGCTCACTGTACCATCGGCGCAGCCAGTGGCTAAGTACTTGGAGGTTCCTATCCAAGTCAGGGATGTCACACCTTCCTGTAATGGAAAAAAAAGGAGTTGTTGTTTTAGTTTCAATCTCTGATTTGATTCTATCTTAGAGAAACTACAAGTTTTATACCGCGTGGTCGCAGATGAATCTGGGAGTGGAATGCTGCAGATCCCAGATTATAAGCTTCTTGTCCATTCCACATGTTGCAGCCAACGGGATGGTTGCGGAGCTTGGTGAAAACTTCACACACTCAACTGAATCTGTATGAGAATTCAAAGAGCTCACAACCTATTGGTATGATTTTTCACAAGTTAGTTAATATGTCAAATAGATATGAGAAGCACCAATTTCATCCAAGGAAACGGTAGATCAAAGACAATGTAAATAGGAAGTTTTCAAGAAAAAACAGATCTGAAATAAGCAGTAACACTTGCTTATTGAAATGATATAGATCATAAACCAATCCTGTGAAAGCTTGGTAAAAACAGTACAGTGAAGTAAATTACAAACCTTTCCGGTGACTATATTCACAATGTGAACAGAACCGTCTTTTGAACCACTGATAGCGAGACTTGAGTTCGAGTTAATGTCTAAGCATGTCAACCCTTCCGTATGATAAGGATGACCTACACAAAACCAGAGGTTAGCATTTCACACGAATCAAAAAAGGCGAAAGATTTAGTGTACTTTTACAGTAGTAACACGTTTAAGTTTCGCTTGCCTTTAACAACATGAATGCTTTCGCAAGTTTTTGGGTTCCACACTATCAAACTTGCATCATCAGAGCCAGTACAAATTAGTTTACCTACAGTATCCACACAGAGGCAAACGATACAATGAAAACAGGTAGACTCAATTAGACAATCCATAAAGCATTTTAGATAGAAGCTTATATCGATACCATCAGGGGTGAAGTCGCCGCAAGTGACATTTAGATTATGGCCTGAAAACATATTAAGATAAGCTTCTTTATCAGAATTCCACATCCATAGAGAACAATCTTCTGATCCAGCCAAGACAATGTGTCCTCTCGGATGCCATCTCACCCACTGAAAAAATCACACAGTAAGTACTAAATTTGATATAAACTTTATTGTGTCAAGCACAAGTTGTATATACCTCGATTCCAGCACCAGGGCCATCCAAAACACATTTCAGATTCCCTGATGATGCATCAAAGATCTGAACAACACCATCTAATCCACCAGATGCAAGTAACTGTCCATCATAGCTAAAAGCTAAAGACGAGACAGAGTCCTTGTGACCAGGAAGCTCAGCAGCCCAATCTCCATTACCAATTTTCCAGAGAAAGGCTTTATCATCTCCACCTCCAGTTGCAACAAGCGTAGCATCTGTTGGGCTACAAGCCAATGCATAAAGCTCACCTGTAAAAGCAAAAAACTTTCTTAGTTCCATGTAAATTACAAAACATTTGAGTGATAAAAACGTTACCTTTGTGACCAGTGAATGTGTGAACAGAGTCATCGTTTTCATCTGAAATTAAGATTTGGTAGAATTAAGAAGCAAAAATTTCATATTGAGGAAACACAAGAGGTGGTGATGTTTTACCAAATTCTTCAGCATCATCGTCCATATCATCATCATCTGCTTCAGGAAGATCTGAATCGACAATAGAAGAGTCACATACACATACATAGGTACATATAATCAAAGATCACGATTGAAGAATATAAAAAAAGAAGAACCTTCTTCATCGACATCGATTTCACGGAGGACATCGGATTCACCAAGAAAAATCTCTCCTTCATCCTCTTCTTCCATCGCTAGATTATTCATCTCTGTATTATTATTATTGTTACTCATCTTCTTCTTCTCTCACCACAGTTTTTTGCAGCCGCGACCAAGAACAGAATGAGGACGGCGGAGATGAAGTTGTGACGTGTCACGATGATGGAACAAAGTACAAAAACCCTTCTTCTCTTTTTTTTTTTCCCAAACAAAAACCCTTTCAACATTTTTTCTCTGTTAAACGACGTCGTTTTTATAAGCATAAAAGTGAGACGACGTCGTGTGAATAGCTCATAAACAACGTCGTTTTATCATAATTTTGGATTTATACATTGTTTTTAGTTACACAATTACAATTCTTTTTTCTTTTATCGAACCATATCACAAAATCAGTAAATCACAAATCTTCGAATGCTAGATTCATTTTCATAAAAAAAAAAAAAAGAACAAAAAACTTACGGGTAAAAAAACTACCTACGTTGTAAATATTTATTGTTCAATAATTTTATCAATTTTTTTTTTACCTTGGACCAGATAACTCAACGGCGTGCAAATTGTAAGTAGAATCAAGAATCCAATCAGAGTTAGGATTAGGACTCAAATCAATCTCTTCCCTCAAAATCTCTACTTTTTGCCATTCGTCCCATCTCTCCGCAAGCCCATCTCCTTCAAGCATCCTTACAACTTCAGACATCTTTGGTCTTTCCATTGGTGATCCTTGCGTGCAAAGCAACGCCACTTGTATCACTTGTTCCAGTTCTCTTTCCTCGTAGTTCGTCTGAAGATCTGGATCCACTAACATCTCTAGCTTCTTCTCCTTCAACAATCCTTTCACCTACAACAACAAACAAGTATTTATTACTATTATTCAGAGAGATTTAGATTCTCATTTCAATGGTTTTTGTTGGGATCAAATGGGAAGTTTTATGTTTTTATTATTACCCAGTCAAGCAACATGACGTCGTCGTCGTTAGCTAGCCGAGCGAGATCGAAAGCTCTTTGTCCTGTGATTAGTTCCAGAAGCATGATTCCGTAACCGAAAACGTCGGTTTTCTCTGAAGATTTTCCGGTTGAGAGATATTCTGGAGCGATGTGACCGATTGTGCCACGGACGGCTGTTGTCACGTGAGTGTCTTTGTAGTCCATTAGCTTCGCCAACCCGAAATCTCCAACAACCGCTTCGAATTCTTCGTCTAAGAGGATGTTTGCTGCTTTTACGTCACGGTGAATGATCTTCGGATCGCAGTGATCGTGTAAGTAAGACAAACCGCGAGCTGAGCCTAGCGCGATTCTCTTCCGCGTTGGCCAATCGAGCGGAGGCTGTGACGGTGGCCTCTCTGTGTCATTTGTGTAAACAAAATTACGAATATCCATAAATAAGAACATGAAAAAAGCTTCTCTTTGAAGATGGAACCAATTGAGAGAGCGCACAGAATGTTTATGTTTTACCTCTGAGACACGAAGCAACGCTTCCGTTGGCCATGTAAGGATACACGAGCAATCTCTCGGTCGGTGTCATACAGAAACCTCGTAATCTCAAGAGATTTCGATGAACTGCCATACTTATCATCTCTACTTCTGTCTGAAACTGGAGCTCTCCACCTGGAGTTCGCTCTTCCTTCAGTCTCTTGACAGCAACAAGAGTTCCGTCTGCCAAACGTCCCTTGTAGACTTTCCCGAACCCGCCTCTACCCAAAATATTCTTGTTACTAAATCCATCACTCGCCACTTGCAGCTCCCGTAAAGAAAACCTCTTGAGCTGTCCCAGATGAACCTCTGGATCTTCTTCGGCTGCATAGAGATTTTGCACTTGAGATTTTACTCAAAAGATTTTGTAGCTCAAAAAACAATAGCTTCTCGATTGATTTTCATCACCAGTTGTTCCAATACTTAATGGCATTGCAAATTTTCATTGCCAGTTGTTCCAATAGTTAATGCTAAAGCAAATTGCTGGCTAAGAATTGTTCAAATCGAATAAATGAACAGAAACTAATGCGAATAATAAACTTACCAGGCACATCGAAGAAAATATCTAGTGGCTTTCTTCGCCGCCACCAAGCAAAGGCTATTGCAGGAGCAGCAAACAGCAAAGCAGCACCTGCAGCAACTCCACCAGCTATTGCTCCAGTTATACCATATCCACCTGAAATAAAATTAGACACAAAACTATATCAATTTATATTGTGGCAAGATGGGTAGAAAATGGATTGACAGAGAATCAAAGATTTCATCTTCTGTTTCCAATAATGTAAACTGAAAAGAGGCGGCTTACTTGGGGTGGAAACTGGTGGAGGTGGAATAAAAGGTGGCGGAGGAGAAAACGGGGGAGATCCAGGACATGGGTGACTTGTAACAGGTCCACATAGGTCTAAGTTGTTAGCAAAACTGCACAAGGAAATGAGAATTTCAGAATAAATTCAGACACACAACAACTGAAATAACTGAAAAGGATAAATAACATAACCTGATGGGTGTGAAGAGTGAGAAGGAGCCATTGTCAGGAACTGAACCAGAGAGTCGGTTATTTGATAGATCTCTGTGTTGCATCCATCAAGGTTAAGTGCATTAACTCAAACAAATCAATTGAGGGAGAATGAAGCAGACATAAATGAAAGTTGATGAGAGAACTCACAACACTTGAAGGGTAGTGATATTGGTCAGTGCCATGGGAATTGACCCAGTGAGACTGTTGTTGTTAAGCCGGCTATTCTTGCATGTAAAAATTTCAGCAAAGAGTCAAAAACTGGGACCAGACCGAAGATTAACCAAAAGTGTAACTGAGCCGGTAAAGCAAAAATATACTCACAGAAACCTCAGCTTTGAAAGCTTTCCCAATGATTCAGGGATAGGACCAGTGAAGCTGTTTAAGTAAAGATCCAAGCTCACTAAGTTCGTCAGATTTCCAAGATTACTAGGAATTGGGCCAGTTATATTGTTACTGTAAAGCTCCCTGTAAAATATAAGAAAAGGAAATTAATGAGGTCGATTACAAGAGGTATCTTTAGTGTATCTTATATCAATCTTGGATTTGTTTTGTTAAAGCATAATGCGTAAGTGCAACTTACAAATACTGCAGATTCTTGAGCACACCAAGCTCCGGAACTAAATGGCCAGACAACTCTGCATTTCCTAAATCACTGTAATCGACGAAAGAAACAAAAATGTCGGAAACCACACTGAGGTTCAAAGTTTAAAAAGAGGGATTAGTAGAAGAAAGCTTTACACTCTTATGACACTGTTCTCGTTGTTGCAAGTGACGTGGAACCATGTACAAGGATTCACAAGCGTAGGATCCCAGCTCTGCAAGACATTGTTCGGATCAACTAGAGTGACCCTCAAAGTATGCAAAGCATCACCTGTAACAAGAACCACAATTAGCATCAAAATGTCTAATTTCCAAAAGAACAAACCAAACAGGTCTCTCTGAAATTGGAGACTAATAATGAAACAAATTCAATATACATTAGAAAACAAATGGTCATCCAGAGAATGTTTAGATCAATAACTGTACATATTATCAAGAACCACCACAAACAATATAAGCTTCAAGCTGTTACAGACGCGATCAACGAATCGCTAAGAGAGATCAAAAACCCAGCTTTTCAACCAAAAGAACAAGCCTTTTCAATTTACAAAGCTGGTACGAAAAAGAAGAAACGTGGTATAGTGATCTGAACAAGAAAAGCAAAACAGTGTATTCACAGTAGTAGCCACTAAATCTAAAACATACCAAAAAACAACAACATCTCCTTCTCACAATAGAAAACAATGAACAAAAAATTTCAGAACATAAAATCATCAAAACCATTTTCGAATTCAAAATGCAGACACTAAAATAGCGATTAACCTCCAAATAAAAAAAAGAATCGAGAAAGTAAATGAGAAACGAGAAAAGCTGAGCAATTGAGTAACCAACCACAAACCTTCCAAATTAGCAGAAGCAAGCCACAGTGAATGATTCGAAAGTAAGATCAACGAAAGTAAGACAAACACCACACAAGTCATCTCCATTTCGAACAACAATGCTAAATTTCGAATCTTGATTTGATCTCTTCAGATCCGAGAAAACCCTAACCTCCGAAAATCACCACCATTAACACTTTGCTACAGAGATAACCTCAACACATAAAAAATCGCTCATTTCTTCGATAACCCTTTAAAACCCATTAGCAGAAAAACAAACACTGAGTGAAAATCAAAATCCTAATTCTCCGGCGTTCTCGTCGTCGTCTTTTCTCAATCACACTCTCTCTCTCACACACTGTAAAACAAAAGTTGAATTAAAAAAAGAAATAAAAAAAATGGGAGCTTTTTGGGGAAAATCTACGTGAAGTAATAATAACAAAAGAGCTTTTTAAAGAAATTTTTATTAAGCCGCAACAACAAGCCTGCCAGAGAAACTATGATTAGTGTTTGTTCGTCCTCTCTCTTTTTCTTCTTTATTCTTATAAATATAACTTTCGAATAAATAAAATAGTTTCGTTAATATTTATATTTTTAAATTTTAAAGATCTCAACAGGCTTTTATTTATTTATGGGGGCATGCAGTGTACGGAGGAAGACGAGGAATATAAGCTGCCCGTAACGGTGGTGCTGCCCGAACTGACCGGTCAAAAAAACGGGTTCGCGCGAGAGAGAGAAGATGGTTGAAAGTAACATCACTTTGGGTTTGGCGTAAAGTAGTTGAAAGCTCTTAAGGCTACGCACCCGTTTCTCCTGGTCAAACCTCTCTCTAGGTTGGGTCCCTTTTTTTCTCTTAATTTAGAAAAAACTTATTCTAAAATTTTAATGCAAGTAAGATTCGTAATCCCATATTTATGAAAGAAAAGTTAAAAACTCACAATCATGTGAGGTGTCTCATACCAAAAATATGAAATTAACTTCATATTTACAATGGTTTTCTCTTTTAGTTTATTTTTGGTCTTGAAATGAAGAAATTTCGTTTTATGTCACCAAAATCAGGTTAACCGAACATTGTAGATACTAGTGTTTGCTGTTATTTTTCAAAACGTAACTTTAGCAGATATGACATTGAAAGATTTGAGTTTTGTCAAAAAAATTCTGGTGGAAGAAACTGTAGCGAGAGACGGCAAAGACAAAATTTGGCCAAGTTCCACTGTGGAGTTGAGTATGGAGTGCCCGATATGACTTTACTACTCTTTCATCACAATACAATTTAACAGAAACTTGTCTTTTCATTTTTTAACACAAAACTTTTCTTCCAATACTTTGCCCATTCAATGAGTAGTGTAAAAAAGTAAAATAAAAAGCAGATTGCATTTGCTACCCTATAAAAATATCACACATTATGCTTACCCCATGTGTTGGACTCTTTCTTTTCATTATGATCAAAAGGTGTTTAGAACGCAAAATTAAAGTAACAAAGAAACAGTCATTTCAGAAAATATTTCAAGATAATGTTGACAATTATTATTTATGAGATATTGTGAGTGGTTAAAATCAGCTGCTATGCAATGAGTGAATTTACAAATTCTTTTATAATCCCCCACAATTTTCATATTTACGATACAAAGATACTTCATATTCAAAATTTTCACAAACCAGTGATAATTCTAAAAACAATAAAAGATCCCATGTTATGAAAGAGAAACACACTTGAAGAAGATTTTTATAAATTCAATGAAACAGTAGAAATCGATTAACATTTTGCGACAAAAAAATATGCCTCCTAAATACAACGGGATAATATCCTAGTGCAAGTGGCCACCGAACGTTTCAACTTTCAACTTTCAACTTTCAAATCCAGGAATAAAGGTAAAAAACAAAAACAAAAGAGGAGAAGCACAGAGAATTTACAGAGAGGAAATATACCATGCAAAAAAGAAGAAGACATGGACGCAAACGCCATAATATGGAGAAAGAACATCATCCCAAATTTTGAAAAGCAGTGGCGGACGCAAACGCTGAATGCTGTTTTACAGATTAAGTGAGTTTTCGCCAGAGAGATCCTTTGGAAGCAGCTAAGCACTTGACTCTCGGGAATACAAATCCTGTCTTGGGAGGATTACCATCTACCAGAGTGTTCTCATATATCTCTTTGCACTCTTGTACCACCTGTTTTCATCACCATAAGCATTTCGCAATTTAAGAATTCTTCGCTTTCAATCAAACTCTTACTGGTTTGTGCCATTTCAAGTCTCGTAACCATAGTATAAAAATCCATGTGATTCGCTACGATTATACCCCAGCCTTTTCCTAAAAAGAGTGTTTGGTGTGTTTACCTCCTTTGTGTCCTTCCGTGGTATGCCTTCACGCAGACTAACAAGCTTCTCTACGACCTCAGCCTGCATACCATATATTAGAGAATATGTGTATTGATTACTATTGTAAGAAACAAGAGCAGGCTTTGGTTATGTTATATTTACCGGGCAGTCAGGCTGGTGCTCAAGAATATTCGAGTACACGAGTGTAAATGCATCTAGACTCTCTGCGGATGCAAGTTCTCTCAGATCGCTCATTATTCTGATTCTGCTCTCCACTTTCTGTAATACAAATCCAGTCGATATATTAAGCACTCCTTAAATGAAATATAAAATATTCAGGTTAAAAATGAGTTAAGTGCTGATATCCAACTTACAGATGCACTTATATACTCCCTAAAGAAATCCATGAGAACCTCTTCATCCAGCCTCATCCGTTCAATAGTTTCTTCCTTGATGTAGTTTTTCTGAATTTACACGCGTCAACCCAAAGGTTCAGTGTTTGTGTATGCGGATGAAATATAAAAGGTATAAATACTAAAGAATAAATGAGGAAACCTGTGTTAGGAGATGATCAACATAAACAACGACTGTTTCTTCCAAACAAGCTTCGACAAATCTTCTAAATGATCTTTCTTCGACATACCTGCATCCAACATTCACCACTACAGCCTCAATAGACTTGTGGCGTTTTTAGCTATTGTTAAACAAAAGGGGACGAGAAAAACTTACATTTTCACATCTGTGAAATAATCACCAAAAGTTGCCACGAGGTACTCAGTAACCTGTCCCTCGCACCATTCTATAAAGTAAATAGGTAGGTCAAATACAACCATAGAATGAACAAGTCAAGAACACGTATCAAGTAAATTTGTCATAAAGATGTCCAAAGTGCTGTTTTAGAAGGAAGGGTAGAAATAAGATGGACGAAAGAGCGTAACTTGACCCTTAAATGATTATGTTATAAAGATAAGAATAGTCCATATCTATTAGAAATCAATAGAAACCAGTAGCAAAAGTATCGAGGTGACAATGCCTCGACTGCCTCTATTCACAAATTAGCAAGGCTTAATAGATACCTTTCTGGTAAAGCTTGACAAGTAATTCCTGAACTCCTGGATCCTCAAAGATAACGCGAACTGTTTGATGCACTGCTTCCTGAAATCAAAGGACCAGATGGGACTTGTGTAAAATCCAACATAAATTTTAACTTTAAAGATCGCAAGATCAAGTTGAAATTTCATGTCAACAGCCATCTGGGCAACTACAAGGCCATAAATTGAGATGCAAGAACTACATTTGGATTGAAGACGGGGAGAAAAAGGAATCTTTGACGAACCTTAGCCACCTCCAAGAAACCTTTGCAAGTGTCTTCAAAATTCACCTGACAAGAGTGCATGTAGATATAGACGTGCAGTATAGTGGGACTAAGAGTGGGCATGATGCAGTGGAATTTGACATTTCCAATCAAAAGAATCAATTGCAAGGAAATTGAGCTCCAAAACTGGCAGCTGGATTACCTGCTCCGCATAATTCTGTGGAAGAGCTTCTAAAGTGCTATTACTCAACTCCATGGCAAGGTCATAGCAGCGAAGGTTGTTGTTTATCTGTAGTCAATATTAACATATAAATATTCGTCTGAAAAGGGGAGAAACGTAATAGTGACATCAAGAGAGTCATATCTTCTGACATACCATAGCGCATAGAGGTTCCAGACCAATATCAGAAGCAGGTTCATCAACTCTCTTCTTTTCAGCTGCTTGGAAATCAATCATAACCTGAAGTAATCCACAATATGAATCAAAATATAGAACAGGCACAATGCTACAAAACTATACTGTTACAGGAAACTTACAATCATCTTAAAACACAATGAAAAGGGAAAAAAATAGAAAAGAGAAAAAAGGGGTAAATGGAATTGAACGATAGGGTGAGAAATGGGAAACATAGCTTAGAATGGGTAAAGTCTCCAACATTAACATTCACGGTCATAGAAGAAAGCAAAGAACGATTTGAAATTTCTGGGTATAGTCAATAAATAGCCTGAGTAGGGAAATGGAATATTTTCAACTATGACCTATTTCAGTTCATAGCCGAACAAAGAAATTGGGGAAACCAAAATGTCTTTGCAACCTCTTTAACTTGCCTGAATAATAGCTAAAGCAATCCTGTACAACATAACATCGGTGCTGTTATCTCTGACAATTTGCACTTGCTCTCCAAGTATTCTGAATAAATCTACAGCAGCCGGTGTATATAATTTCCCTTCCTCTGTTTTTTTAGGTGGTTGCACCTTATCCGCCTCAAGGATATTCATGTACCATTTCTGTAACCAAAGGTTTGGCAACAAAAGTTTAAGCAAAAAGAATTATAAAAATTAGCAGAGTAGGTCAAACATGCAGTTCATTACCTTCGTTGTAGCTTGCATTCTTTCAACATATGCATTCATTAGAGGATCCATTGAACCACTCTCAGAACACACTTGAGCTAGTGAATCATCAACACCAAGTGCAATCAAGTTTTCTTGGTACTCTACCACCCAACCAGTCACCTAGCAAAACCGAAAAGAGAGAAAAGATACATCACTCTCTAAAGGATACCTAATGCCGTAAAACGAATGAGGCATATTGATGAGGCAAAACAAAGGCAGTCACATAATATTACCCCCTCTTAAAAATTTCCATGGTGTTCCCTATCAAATAACTCGCACTAGCTTGACATTTACTTAAATAACACGCATGGTTGATTAAAAGTGTCCTTGATATTCAGTCAGAAAACACAGAGCCAAAGCACCAATAGCAGTATCCGCAAAGTTTTGAGTTGCGACACAACATGGCAGAACTAAGAATTAAGCTTTACACACCTTTAAAATTTCTATATTTGTCAGATCGTTTGCTCTGTCACTGAGCAATCTGAGCATTTGTATGAATCTCTCGGTATACAGGTTCACCATAAGCTGAAATATCTCATATCTGCCAACAAGGAAGATTGCTAAGAAAACCCCTTTTCACTTGGGGAAACAGAATAAATTTGTTATCTTTCATTCTTCTAGAGGAAATCGAGATAGGTACAAACCTTGGAGGAAAACAAGGAGCCACATAGTCATAAATATCTCCAAGTTCCTCTCCAATCTAGTTGTGGAACACCATAAAAAGAAAGTTAAAAACCTAGTTAATAAATATATATTTGTGAAAGATAACAGAGGAAAACGAGGTTGACATCAATCATTACAACCGTGGAAGATATAAGAGTT